ATTGATTGACCTAAAACAATGTATTATTCTGAATAGGAAATCAATCAGACAACAATAAATCCTATGTTTTATTCATATCTTAAAGGGATTATAAATAGCTTTTGTTAACCTTTTATAAATACTTAAGACATTGATATCATCGATTTGCAGTCTAATTTTCAGTCAGATGACTGTGGTTTTTGCAATTCCACTCAAAGAAAACGGTTCGCATAAGCTGTTAATAATACCTAACGTTATAAAGAAAATAAAACTAGAGCTCATTGTCGACGAAAAAGTTTTTGTCAGAAAGTAAACCACGAGCAACTTGGTTCCAGTCGTCGATGCGTTCCCGTCGACTTCGCCAGCGATTCACCATATTCTCACACAAACAGTCGTTTGGACTTCAGTTGCTCTCAGATTCTTTCTGTGACGAGAGCTGCATAATTAGGACATTCAGTATTATCGACCTTCTTTTTTAGTTGAAAGTAAGCTCATACCGAACAGTGTATTGTAAAATCTATTAAAATATCAACTTTACTTTTTCACTACATTCTCAATTGATGATATAAAACAATGAATGGAAAAACGATTTAACAAGCCATTTTGGCTGAATCGAAAAACTATTTTTGGAAAGGAGGGGATATTTTTAAGTTGTTAATGAGAACAGAGTATTTCTCAATTAACTTCAGTCATTAGTTCATTTCATTGATGTAACTAGGTGTACCACGTCTCATTACCACAAATTATCTGATTAAAGAAAATAAAGTCCACTTAGATCCAGCTGAACACGAACTTCAGATGAAATACAAGGCTTTTTCTTTGGTAGTTCGTCTCTTAAATTAGCACAACTTCCAGCTCGGTGTAAAGTACGAATAGACATAGTAGAATGCCCACTGCAGTGAAGGTGCTGTTACATTCGGAAATAATCAGCTGCCCTATTTAAGGCTACATTTGATCCCCTAACGTTTTTCTATTATATTATTAATTTTGCAAAAAATAATGACTGTACCCTGGAGAAACGTGATGCATGCAGTTGCGTCCCATCGTAGTTAGGGAATTTTATGTCCTGAGTTTTGGTAACCTGTTACAGCACAGTCTTACCATTCTCTGTAAATATAGCATACCTTGACAATATACAGTGTCTTTGATACGACATTTACCTACGTACGAGTGTAGGAAATACGCTAATTCAGCCATATAGCAAGTGATCGATGGCAAACAATTACGATTCATTGACTGATTTGATTATTATTAGGTGCAATGAAGTATAGATACTTAGGTACGGGCTAGTTAGATCCTTTTGACGGATTTCTGCTTCAACACTCTTGCATTATGCACCTATGTAGATCGTCGTTTAGTAGTAGCGATGTGATTTTAACCAGATATGCAGTATGCGCAAAAATCAACAGAGCTTCAGATGAGTTCGACCATGGATATAGTTCGCCTTGGACAATATTTCGAAGTATATTTTTGAGACGTCAATAGTGGTTGCAATTTGCAAACCTTGTGTATGAATGAATGATTTCATTATTGGTTATTGGTTTACCCAAATATGTCAAATTTTAGTGAACAATATGGATTGCTTTTTTGATTGATAAAGTGTTCTTAGCTTATTAATGAAAATTCTTTATAGTATATTGTTTCTTCAAAATTGACTGAAGGATATAATATAGTACAAAAGACGAAATTTACTTTGATGCGAGGGCACACTTGTGGCAACCACTCGTTTCAAATAAGTAATTTGTACTTAATCTTCACCAGATAAATGATTGAGTGCATCGGAGTATAACTAAATGCATTCCGATATGTGATGAATTGAAGTACGGATATTTGTTAGTGTCAAATACAAGGTTATCTTTTTAAACATAACATTTTACATACATTTACATGTGCAGAAATCTTCAAGTTCTCTGTCGAATAAAAATTAACAAATCAAATTACATGTTGAAGTGCCAAATTAATTACAATAAAAATATACTCGTATCATGGAGGTTGTGTGTTTTATCAATTACGTTTTTATGACGGCGGATCAAATTCTTCCAGTCGAGATAGACTAAATGTTAGGTAAGCCATATGTCGAAATGGTTTACGAGTGGTTTGTGGTTTATATTGTTGGCTTTATTACCCTACCCGTGTTTGATTTTCACAACAATTGAAAAGGTGATACTACCGACTGCCGTAATTCCGATCAGGCATAAACTTAGTTCGAGAAGTCTGGAGACTGGAGTTACTGTATATTTTGGATGTGTTTAACAATTTAATAGTGCCTTGTGAGGAATAATGATGCTTAAACACTTAAGTTATAAGTTCCCTTAATACCATTGCCACGTTTGATTTTTATTAAATTGCAGACCATGGACTTAACGTATCTGATATACGTAGTACTTAAACTTACTCAAAATTACAGAAAACTTCGGAAGCAACATAATGAACTAATATTCTAACCAAAACCTAGCATTTTAGTAATATTTTGAGGCCTCATGTTCTACAAGGTCTCTGAATCGAGTTAAGATTTCGGACTAGTGTAAAATACTATCAGACTCAAGAGTATTGGAGTGGTTCCAGTTTGATCTTTATATTATACAGTATGGTATCTATTGTATTATACTTATCTAATCCCGGCTAGATATAATGAATTTCCAATACATCTAGGATACTTTTGTGTTTGGATTTAATACCATTTCTAGATTATCTATTTTGGTAAGTTGTCTTCAGGCACGTTTTTGGTAGACTGTTCGTGGACTAACAAAAATTCGATCTTGTATTAATCGTCCCTAAGGACGTAATATATAGGTTAACAAATTTATTTTTCGATTTGGACCCTTGGTCAAGATAGCTTGATTATGACCATTAACGGATTGGTCCGGATCGGTGACTATGCTTTAGTGCAGAGCAATGACTATGGATTGGTCTTGCCTTTAGATAACGACCATCCAGGTGGATGACAATGATCATTTCTGCATTCATCCAGATATGGATTGGTCCTCATGGGTGACAAATAGTCGTTTCTTGATGATCCAGACTCGATTATTTTTCTGGTTTCGTTCAGAAGGGTGACTATAGATTGGTCTTGATGACGGTCATTATCAGATTTGGCCCAAATAGTGACATATGGACTGGTCAAAACTGATGACAACGATCATTTCTGGATTTGTTCAGACTAGTGACTTTGATCATACATGCTTTGGTCCAAACTGTTTACTATGATCATACCAAACTGGTGTCTTTATTATCTGAATTGGTTCAGACTGGTGGCAACGATCATTCCGGAACTTCAATCTTTTATGTTATTTGACCAGTAGAATCCAGTGTTAAATTTGATAACGTTATTTATCCTTTCCGATTTTTAGTTGAACTATTACGATTGTCATCCGAGTAGCTTTTTGGAAGAAATAGACGTCCCGAAGCTGAAACTTTTTTATATGATTGCATCATGTCAGTACCAAAAGGATTTTGATTTTTGATGGATGGGGCTCGACTCTACGCTTTCCCTAATGAACTTAAACAATTTCAGAGCAATATCACTAATATAACTTACAATATAACAGAACCGAATATTGTCAAGGACATATACTCACAAGTACATAAATATCATAGTGGAACTTGACCGAGCACCCACTGTGTTTACGTCAGATTGTAAATTGTATTGTTGATAGTATTGTTAGGGGTATATGGTGGACACCTGTTCCTTTAGCTACATTCTCCACACAATTATTCTATATGGTGTGTATATATAGAAGATATCGTGATCACAATGTCATAGGCAAATGTTATCATACTCTACGTTATCGTTTCCATTCTCGGACTCAAAATATACTACAGTGCTTCGGCAGCATAACCTTCTAGTTTCCATTTACAGAACACAGCGGATTCTATCATAAACTCAGCGTCCATTCTTCTCATGCAAGACATCAATAGCTAAACTGTCCCACGTTCAGAAATCCGGTTTCATACATGTATTTTAAAAAATTGTTTTGTCTTGCCTTATATGATTAGACTTGTTCAGTTGGAAATAACAAAGGTTTTTAAAACGTATTGCTAACTGAACAATGGGAAATTCTAATTAGAATGAGTTGGAGGACCTAATCAAACAATACGTTATTGTGTTATTAATACAAATTTGACAAATGTATTGTGCAGTTTAAATTCGTTTTCCCGTTACAATATACATTCGATCTTAATATTAATACGACGAGGGTGTGATTATATTCCCAGCTGATTGATTTCTAAATGAAATTTGGCAAAACGCAGCAGTTGTTACTCTTTTTCCAATACTTCAGGCCTTGTGTGATGTGTACAGTCCGGGTACAAAGTCATTTATCAACATTAACTATCAACCTTGTACATTTCTCTTCTCTTAAATATCTTATTTCAAAATGACAGTTACTCATTTGTGTCACTCATTATATTCTTAACTCATGTACATATAAAAAATCTCATACGGAAGCCGCGTTGGACGCAATTTTGCAGTGCATCTTTTTCTGACCCGTGTATAATTTTAGCTAGCAATTGGGTGGACGTTACCACGTACCCTTGTGTGTCTTTTTCATGTTCTTCATATGATTAACATATTGTTATGCAATTATTTGCTCTTACAATAACTGCTGACTAACCCTGGCCGCTACCGCCATCATATTTTACCACCTTCCACGTAACATTCATACAAAAATTTGGGCAAGAATAGTGCTTAAGATTCAAAACTATGTCTATATCTTAATCTTTCAGAGGTAGTATTCGGTCAGTGTTTTTACCGAATATTATTAGCATTAACCATTAACCTCGCATTCTATTCAATCTATCGTTCTCTAGGGCCATATTAACTCTTTACTGGTACGTTACACCTTCGTGAAACATTCAAGTCAAGGTCATGGGAAGAGCAGTCGAAATTGTCTGAAGTTCGTGGTCAATTCAAAAAAAAAAATTGATTTAAATGCTTAAATATCACTTTTTCGTTCTTTAAGGAATTAAAAAAAACATTAAATGGTTTTATTCATTTCAGGCTGTAGATAGGTGTTATCAAAATGACAGACGACGTTGAAGAGAGACGGAAATCGTCTTTCAAGCGTCGGTTTTCCCTGGATATTATGAGAACAGCACCAAAGTTGTTCTTTAGGCGAACCTCAAACATCGACTCTCAGGTGATGACGTTAAAAGTATCGGATTTTGGAGACGATTCGTTACAAAGATCGCCGGTATCCAGCCCACTTCCTGTTTCAGCCAAAAAAGAAAAGGTGTTTGGAGTATTGCTTTTGGAAAATAATACCTATAAAGTGGTAAGCAACTCTTTTTGCTTTAGCCTTTTGACACGTTATTGGCAAGTTTCTTGGCAATCATGGTATGCGGTGTGTGTGACTGTTTCACGAAATGATCAAATTCCAGGCCCATTTGTTTCTTGTCGTACAGAAATACACTATTCTGAAAGAGAATGTAACTTTTGTGGTCAGTGGGGTGTTTATGATTAATTGGGTGATGGGATCAAAAATTGTCATGGGTAATCTTTTTCTATTTTTTTTTTAAATTTAAAAGTGGGTGGAGGTTGAGCCAAAGCCAGTCAGCTTCTGTTTCAGCCTACTGCTCTTTCACTGTTCTTTAAAAACAATACTTGGTTTAAACTGAACATCAAACCAGTTGAATAACATTGAGATCCAAGTTTTTCATGGAGATTTACTCATTTTTCAAAGCCTATCCCATTCATCTATTTAGATAATCTCATTTCAAAGATATTTTTATTCAGATTTTTGTGGGGTCTGAAGGCCAGTAACTTCCACTTGCTAACTTGTTATGAACCATTCTCATTGTGTTTACCAATATCTCCCATTCCGTCCAAGCATATTCCATTCGAACAAACATACCTTAGTTTCAGAAACAGGAATTTTTTTAGCTTACATAATCAGTGATAGTGTTCACAGCTCATCATCAAAATTTGAGCCTTCAAATCCATGTGTATCTCTATTTATTCACGTTCGAAAGTTAAAAATTTGACTCGAATTTTAGTGAGACTATGCCATATATAGAAAACACATATATAGGAATAGACAGTGAAATTTCTAGTTTCTAAGGGATTATGCGATTTTCGTGCGTTTTAGTACTTCTTAAGACTATTAAAGCACAATAAAGACCCAAATCAATCTCCGAAAATTCAGACTGTTACCCTTTAATGTGTGCTGTACAGGAGCTATAACTATTGAATTATTTTTATTACTACAAATTAGTGAGAGCTATTTTGGTTTTCTTCAAAGAAGAACTATACCTTTTTACCGTTTATAAGTTCTATTTTTAATACAGTTGTTTAGATTTAGAGGAAAAATATCAGGAATCAAATCAAAGAATATTTTGGAATCCTTCTTTGATGTGATAAGTCAAATCTAGATAAGAATCTATGTTGAGATCTAATCTGGATTGAATCTTGATTAAATTAACAAGCTGACACTAATCTATAACTGTGTGATTACTATTTATTTATAAAAGCAATTCAAGTAATTTTTTCTCCAGTTACTCTCAGTAATTTAAACAAACATGGTTTAATTATAGCATCAAATGTTTTTGTTTCATAGATTTTCTATAGGGATGTTGATGGTTGTTCTGTGTGCCTTGAAATAATTAAAAGGACAGATGCACCATTTTATTGGACCAATAATATCTTAGTTTCAGAAATGAGAATTTTTTAGCTTAGCCAATCAGTAATAGTGTTCACAGCTCACTGTTGAAATTTGAGCGTTCAAATCAATGTGTCCAGAATTATCCGTGTTTGAATGTTAAAATGACGACTCGACCAAATAATCAAGCGACTCGGCACCAACCCGGACCTTCCACAGTCCATAGCCAATAGGCTCTCCATTTAACTCCATCGGATTATCAGATTGCAAACTTTCCAACCACATGGGATCAATGACAAAATCTAAACCTGGACACCCCCACTTCTCTCTTTGTTACTTGATAACATCTCGGTTGAATTTGACGATCTTTCGATGAGAGAATTTTGAGTTATAGCCCTTGACTAAGATAAAATGCATTAAAATTTGTACACAAATTGTGCTGCAAAATATAGACTATACAGTTTTCATCAGATTTTTTTGATGATTTATGTTGATAAAGGAAATGAAATGTCTTTTCATTTATATTGATGAAATCTTGATCAAATTTATCTGTTAACTTTTTTTAAGTTCTTAATGTTAGAGCTGTGTGGTTTAATAATTTTGTGGAATAACTCAGCATAAATAACTGGCAGTAAATATAATGTATGCGGTATCATTGAATTCAAACTGAATAATAATTTATAATGAAGATCTTCATACTTCAGACTGTTTTATCATTTCTGTCAGCTGCCAGTGGGCGTATGTTTCCTTACCTTACCTACCAAGCTATCTGGTGTAATAACATGGAAGTCTTTTAATTAGTTACATAACCTTAATACAATTTGGCGAAGATCTGCTAACAATGTTCTCAGATTATGAAATACTAGGAATACTGGCTTTTGGAAACCAGGCCTTGAATTTTAAAAACTCTTGCAATAAAAGAATTCTCATAACTGTGCACATGTGCATTAAGCAATTACACAAATTATCCAAAGATACTTTGTGAAAGTGAAAAAGCAGTGAATGTTTGCAAGTAATTTTCTAATTTTCTAAAATTTATTTTGAAGAGTTTTAATTAGATACATAACCTGAATACAATTTGGTAAAAATGGGGTATTTCTGGAGGTTGAACAATGTTCTCACGATTATATAAGTTTATAAGATTTAAGTTTGTAGATAAATATTTAGATGTCGACAAGTCTTAATAATGGCCGGCAGCCAGAACGTTGGTGAGATTATACATGCTGCATCTGGTATTAAAAACATATTAGAAAGATATTAAAAGTCAAGACCTGGCTTGTTTCTAACATGTTTCAAATTGTTTAATTGTGTTATAAATAAACTACTGTGGAAACTTTTTACAAAGTGTTTAATACTGTAAACTTGTATAAACTCTCAAAGAAGTATGTTCATTAGAATGTTTTAGTCTTGTTTGACGTAACAAGGGTACTAGTGGTTGTCTGGCAATTTTCTAAATTTAATTTTTCACTAATAAATGGTATAAAATTGATTGGACTGAAAAGATGGACAAGGCCATGCAGTGTGCATTGAGGGAAATTTAAGGACAGCAGAATGAGCCTTTTCTAGTTTACAATTTAAAGGAAGTCTTCAAATGAAAGGGTAACACATAGCACCTCTGTTAATTATCCTATCTGAAAAACTAATCATTTTCCTGTTACCTGCTTTACTGAAAGGAAAAGTTGGATCTTGAAGATCTAAGAAATTGAAGTCATATGATTTCTTTGCTGTTTTTCTGCCTCAAAAATGATTAAATAAAGTTAAGAAAATTGTTATGATTATTTCTATAAAGAACTATAAAAAGTAATAGTTTTTGTAGTTTATTTTAGATCTGACATGTGTTTATGGTAGTATATTGTAATGATATTTATTATTTAAGTGTGATATATGATAAACAGTGATTGATATCAGGTGTTTCTTAATACACCTCTTATATCTATCTATATATGTATAGTTTACTGTTATTGTACACAGGTGTTAGTTAGTGCATATAAATCCAAGATTTAGTGATCTGATCAATAGGCTGTGATATTAGTTATCAGGAAGCTGACAACAATTTGTTATCTACCAACCAACCTTTCAAATCAGTGTAGATCTATCTATCATAGCTTATCAAAAGGCATACATTTTCTCTAAGCAATTATTTTAAAGCCCATCCAAAGGATTAATACGGCTTATACCATTCCAATTACAATGGAGTTGATTGAAATATTTTGAAAGCTTAACATTGGTCAGCAAATATACTCTAATTCTCTCCAGAGTCTATGTTGAATGTAGGAGCAGACAAGAGGAAAACTTTATCTTTTTTGAAAGAAGGCCTTGTGTAAATACTAGGCACTTCCCATTCAGAGACAGATTCCTGCCATGTATAAGCTGTTATGTTACTCCATTGTATTGTAACTTCAAAAGACATGTATTTGCTATGCACAAAGTAACCAAGTGATATTTCTTGTCAATATGGTCTACTCTATATGTTCTAGAATATACTTACTAAAAGATGAAATGACCAGGAAACGACCAAAGAGAATGAGAAACAAACATTTGTCACAAAGTAGTTGGAGGTTGTTTCCTGGTTGTTTTTCTGCTCGGTTCCTGGTCGTTTTTCTTTGGTTGTTTCATGTTTTCTTTGGTTGTTTTCTGTTCATTTCATGTTTTCTTTGGTTGTTTCCTGGTCGTTTCATGTTTTAGTAAGTACGTTTGTAACTGTTCTCTCTTCAAGTGAGCATGTGGTACTTACATATTGGCTGACTTACCAGCAAACTATAGCTGAGAAGACACAAAACATGGAATGAACATGCCAGATATTCTCCATAAGCTCCTGATTTTGTAGAAGGTTTAGGGCTGTCATTGACTATCTCAGTGGCTGTTTATTCAATGAAAATATGATCAGGGTTGAAAAGTGGCCCTATGTGGGCCAAGGCTTAAATCTTGTACAAAGACTTTCCAGCCTTAATTATTACTGGAGGCTTTAACTTAAACTCTTTTTGCATGACGATTGAGACTGATATAAATTTATTTTTATCATTGAACATTTAAAGATTTTATACTTGCTAGAGGATACATTTGTTTGAATTAAACTCTGAAAACACTTAAAGAATTTAAAAGGACTGGAAGTAATCAAATCAACTTTGATTAACTTGTTTGTCGACTTCAATAAAGAAAATTTTCAGATATGCTGTAGAAATCAATCAGTTTTAAACCTTAGTTAAAGGAGAATTGCCAACAAAATATTGCCTTAAGGTTGATCAATTTTAGTCTGTGCTTCTTTTGCTAGAACAACTTTGTCTGAGGTTGATGATTGGATCCAGCAGCACAGTTGGTTAGAACTTTACATGTTTTCATTTGATTGTTATGTTGAAAATAAATGGTGGTTGTGGGTTCTAATCTTGGTCAGCTTGTGAAGTCTGACGATCTTGAATAGTCATCTTCACTAATAATACACTTGACCGAGATGTAAATTGGCAAGGACTACCTGGAAGAGAGGATCTTTTTTTAACCAAAGTTGTTATCCTTTCTTTTGACTGATGTAACCCACAAGAATATTAATGACATAAAATGTTTTATGTGTGCCAAATTTGACTGAGTTTTGTAGAAGTTACAGACACTCTTTAAAATTGATTTCCAATTATTTGTATCGTTTGTAAACAAAATGGGTAGACAGAAAGTTACAATACCCCGTCTAAATCATTGGGCTTAAAAACTTATTTAAAAACCTTATAAGATTGGCAGACACACAAACTTTCAACTGTGACATGACTCTTTATTGTCGATTTAGTAGTTTAAGACAAGTTTGTTGCTGGCAGATGTGCTAAAATTCACCAAGACACTGCTTTCCATAGCTGAAAAAGTGAACCATTGCAGGGAATTAGCTACTCAAGGATTATTTCATACCATGAAGAAAATGCCAGAAAGAGTCAACTGAAAAGAATCAATTTTGAAGGATTTGAAGTTTGGATGTAGCAGACATCAAAATGGATAGCAGACACAGAAAATTATTTATATATTGGTCTGGATAAAAACTGTGAATTTATGTGCAGTGGACATTTTTTTGTAGTAGACAACATCAATAGCCTAGCAATATTGTAGAATTTGTAGACATTTAGATATTGTGGGACCGTTGTCATGTATTTCATATTTAAATTGCATGAATTTCTTTTTTTTTAAGGGATATTGTCATTGTGTTGTTTAATAGCAAGATAAAGTCATTTAAATATTTACTTTTACCACTTGGGAGCTGGATTACAATATAAAATTTTGCTCAAAAATGGGATTAATTTTGAAAAATGTCATCTGAATAAATAGGACTACTTTTAATTTAGGAATTCAAGTAACTTCTTGATCACTTTGAAAGAATGCGTCATCGCTGTCTTCACTTGAGCCACTCTCTTCATCTGACAACGATCCACAAACGAATTTATGCCATGATGGGAAGGGAGACAACTCTGTCTTTAACATCCGCCAACTCTTTTAGGCTCAAATAAAAAAAGGGCTTTAATTGAAATTAAGCAAATGTTCAGATGACTATATCTTACTAAATGCTTTTTTTCTGTGAAAAGTCCAAAAATTGCAGACTCTTCTCTGGCTTCTGTTCATTCATTTGTAAACTCTCTAAAATCTACAGTGTTAAACTGAATTTTATGCAATTTGTTAAAAAAAATTTTGAAAAAAATTGGTAAACCTAAGATGAAGTTCTAAGTGAAAGCCCAATATTATCCCCATTTTGAGAGAAATTCAAACTTTGACCCCCTCATTAACCCTTGTGATCTTAAACAGTGAAAATACCATAGCTTTACTTTAATTTTTAGTAGGTTTATGACCAAAAAAGTGAGGAATTTTCTTCTGTCTTGTTTCTTTGTTCCATCATCCTTTCTAAAAATATGTGAAGAAACACGAGGTACGCGTTCAGACATGGTGCGGACACGACTCGTTTCTTCTATTGTCTACTGTATCAATAATCCGACCATACACCACACTGGTCTATTTGCACCTTTACTAGTTCAACATCTAACATCATTGCAAAAAAATACAATGTACGTCAACAGCCGTTCTGCAATCCTAAAATATATTATTGTTAATAGATATAAAATAATATTTTGATAGGACTGTGTGAAATTATTAAAATAGTTTCGACACTGTTCAAATTTGACAAAGTGTTGAAAGGTCATTATCACATATAATATTTCAATTACACTGTGAAATAATTTTCACTTAATTCACATCATTTGAGTGATTTAGACAGTTTAAATTACATGCATTAAAATAGGAGATGATATATGCTAACAGGTTGGTAATTGTAAAAGATTTTCTGACATCAGGGGACTTATTCTTGAAAACTTGAATTAACTTAAATTAAATTTGAAGAAATACAGTAATCTACAACTGGAAGACTAAAATCATTGTTAAGTTTCCAAAAATAAGGCCCCAGGTCTGTTATGTGATTTAAAATTGAGTTCTTAAGGCTTAAACCTTGAGTTATTGCCAGAATGATCGGATTCAGGAGGAACATTGGGGCAAAATTACAAAATGAGGAAGGTGAAAGCTTCACCTTTTTTGGAGATCTTTTCCAAGTCTAAAGTTAGCTATTCCATCAAATTAAATCTAAATTTTCCAAATTCACTTAAGCTAGAATTCTTTGATTTATTGCCTTGTTGTATTGCATAAATTGCTGTACTAATATTAATTTGTAGAATAAAAAAAATTGGTCGATCAAAAATTGAGATCGAATAATTTCTTTTGAATAGAAAGGAAAATCTGTAGGATAAGCTAGCATGGACTCTGTTGCAGAGGATCTATGATTATGTGCTGAACTGGATGGTTTCTCATATGGACTGCTCATGTTGACACTCAAATTTTGTTAGAAAATAGATCATTGGCAACTGGTGACAATTTTTTTGCACTTATGTCAACTAAATTCAGACCCTATGGAATACTGCCTACTGCTTACTGTTGTTAAAGGGACAGGTGTGCCATTTTGGGGGTTGATTTAAATCTTGAATATAAGTAAATAGGCTACAGAAGTACTAGAAATGTACAAAAATCACATATTTCTTCAAAAATATCTCAACCTAGGAATTTCTTCTATTTCTTTAGATGTCTTTTCTATATATGGCAGTGTCTCAAAAAAGGCGACTTGTCTTTTAACTTTCAAACATGATAATTCTGAACACACATGGATTTGAAGGCTGAAATTCCGACGGTGAGCTTTGAACACTATTACTGATTGGCTTAGCTAAAAAATTCCTGTTTCTGAGACCAAAGTATCATTGGTCAAAAAATGGCACACCTGTCCCTTTAATGATAATGTTTCAGAATTTGCAATTTGGAAGTTAGACAAACTATATTTTCAATGAAGTATATTGAATGTTCATTAAGCATTTTGAAATATTTTGTTATTTACTGTTATTATTGCCATCTTCATTGTACTTATAGTAATTGTGTTGCATTGTATTTTGAAATGATATTTTGCATGTTTCATGTTGTTATATTGCACGAACTTGTGAATACAATGGTGAAGTATATTTTATATTTATAATTTTAGTGTTTTATATTGTATTATGTGTTATGTTATATAAGCTCTAGAATACACTCATTAAAGTTGGATGGTCTTTTTTGAAATTTTAATAGTTTCATTTAATATGATACAGTATATAATTTAAACTAGTGTTTGGATAATAAATAAAAATTTCAGTCTATCTGGATGGTATATTTACCATCAATACCAACAATACATTTTGATCGGAAAATTTGTTAGCACAGGATTTATAGTTTGTAGTTAATTGGATTACATATTTATGATTTGATAAAACGAGTATTTTTGGCAATTAAAGATAACATCTGCAAATACTGCAAATGTATTGAAATTGCAAATATGGCCATCATGATCTGACAAAATAAATGAAAAGTTAGAGTTGTTGTTCCTTACAGAACTGATAATAATATTCAAACTTGTAAGGTTATCCAACTTTAAGGTTTACACAGTGTGTGCTTCTTACCTATAGTGAATTTTTTTGTTAACTTACATGCTGTATAATAATTTTAGTTAAATTTATATTTTGGAATTTTTGATTGTTTCAGCTGAATGGAGAAGATGAACGCCATTTAAACCAGTTATTGATACAAGCTCATGAAGACTATACAGTGGTCAGCTATAGATTGATCATACAAAATATTAGATATACTTTTAGAATAGAACCTATTAGAAAGAGACAAGGCAGCTTATCACCCAGACTTGATGTCACTTTTAGTTTTGCAGAAGGTAGGTTATCTTTAACCCTTTCAACAACAGCACTGTAGTATCCCGAATACAGGGTTGCGATCTTGTTTAACCTATATTAGATTATGCCTGCTTAACACTCGCAAACAGAGCGTCTATAATGAGTGATTTGATTTGATTTGATTGATCAGTATTTAGCTAATAAAGTGTTCATTTTGATTCACAAATTATAAGAAGATATAGCTTAAATTGAACCAGCTTTTTAATGTCATATTCTTCAAGTTCAGGGTACATAAATTTAATTTTTTTGGTTTTAGTATGTGCATCAGTGAAGCTTCTATTTTCACCAAACTGATTTCTTTGATATCTAAGTCCGAAAAAACATAACCAAAATATGGCATCACTATTGTAATTTGCAATGATGTGTTCAAGATAGCCAGATATTAAAAGAACTATATAAAAGTAAATTGGAATGGTGGAAACAAAATTCAATATAAGAATCTTCTAAAAAAAAGGCTAAAAAATATTATTGAACCCATTTAAATGAAATGAAATGAATGGAGTTTTATGCCTACTTTTGAACTCTTATAAGAAATTTGGTCCAACAATTCTCGTATAATGTAATTTTGGCAAAAATAATCATAGAATTGATTCAACTTTTAGTTTAGAAATCTCAAATCTTCTAGCTCAGACTAATATGTAAGAACTAGGGCTGCAATGATTCATTGACAAATTGATCAATCGCGATTCTTTCCTTCTTATCGATGCATTGAGTTGGATAAAAATAATCGTGATGTATCGGTCTGATTAATTCTTAGCCCCCTTTAATAACAAATGACACAGAATCATTGTGTGTTTAAGAAATTGTGTCATGTATTCATTTTTCAAAAATTTATTTCATTGCCTTTTTTCTAAACATTCTCAAAGGTTAATAGTGACAAAATTGTTAGTAATTTTACAAATTTCTACTCTATCTTCTTATTTCATATCCAATAAATCAATCTCGGTCATTATCGTAATAAATTGTATCGTTGGATGAGTATCATATAGTGTATCGAATCGCAACTTCAAGAATAGTTGCAGCCTTACTAAGAACAAAATTTAACCTTTGATATTTTTAAATACATATCAATGACAGTTTTGATAAAAAATCTAGAAAAAAGTGAAAAATGTTTTTGGTATCATGGGTTTATTTTGAACCTTATTTTATTTATTTGGTGATTGATAGTTAAATTAGGAAAATAAATAACAGATACATAAACCAGTCTAAATTTAGTTGCCATGATGAAGTGAAGATCTATTCTAGTCTGCCATATTTTGGCTTGTCTGTGAATACCTCTTATCAAAATACAAGATTATAGTTATGTCAATAATTTTCTGAACATAAACAATTTTCTTCGTTTTTATGTAACTTTGATTGTTTTTAATTTTCAATCATCTTGACTAAATGATGTTTATAGTAAATATCTCATCATCAATAAATCATTGAAACTAGACAATGATCATATTACTTACTTACAGTACAGATGGATGTCAGGATATTTTTCACTTAAAGCACTTGAAATGAAATGTTATGGTGTTTCACGTCCTTCATCTATAACCAACCTCCTTTCTTACAATACAACTTGCATCTGCTTTCAATCTCGTGTCTACTTTTTTAGTAAAATATTGTACAACTTGTGTCTACTTTCTTGTAAAATGTTGTACAACTTGTGTCTACTTTCTTGTAAAATGTTGTATAACTTGAGATTACATTTTTGTAAAACATCTAACATCTTGTGTCTACTTGTAAAATGTTGTACAATTTGAGTTTATTTTCTTTGTAAATTGACATAAAACTTGAGTTTACTTTTCTTTTAAAATGTTGTACAACCTGTGTCTACTTTCTTGTAAAATGTACAGCTTGTTTACTTTTCTTGTAAAACGACGTACAACTTGAGTTTACTTTTCTCGTCAAATGTTGTACAATTTGAGTTAACTTTTTTTGTATATTGACATACAACTTGTCTACTTTTTTGTAAAATATTGTAGAACTTGTGTCTACTTACTTGAAAATTTTGTACAACTTGTGTCTACTTTCTTTTAAAATGTTGTACAAATAGATTTTTTTTTTGTTGTAAAATATTGAACAACTTGTGTTTACCTTTCTTGTAAAATGTTATACAAGTTTTAGTCTACTTTTATTATAAAATGTTGTACAACTTGAATTTACTTTCTTTTTAAACGACGTACAACTTGAGTTTACTTTTCTTGTAAAATGTTGTACAATTTGATTTTACTTTCTTTGTAAAATGTTATTCAACTTCTAGTCTACTCTACTTGTATATATATAATTTGAATTGTTAATTTCAGATAGAAGAATAGATATATTATTAGAATGGTTAAATTCAGAAACAGATAGTTGTCAGTTCTTACACAACCTGGTTGAGTCTTATGTTAAGCCACTAAGGTAAGACATTGTTTTCTTTTAATGGTCTGCTCAGTCCATTTAAGATCACATTTGAATGAGTAGAATAACAATGCTGTTGTCTAGTTGTCTATGACTATGCTGTTTGTTAGAAGATGAATAAAAGGAAATTTTTTGTCTCAGAAGCCACATGAAACAAATATTGGTACATGTTGATTTGACTTTACAAAAAATTCCATTATTGAGAACTGATTTACATTCTTTAATTATTGCTCACTTTATGGCTGATTTCCAGAACTGGGTCTTAATACAGACATCAGCAGCTTAAGAACTTAGAATTTACTGCTAAGGATTGCTTTTAGACTCCAAAACTGATTTCAACTTATTTGATCTTTTCACAGACTATATGACATTTTGACTTATTCATACTTGTGATTCTTGAAGCGTTTACGAAATGACCAAAAACATAATTTCGAGGGAAGTGATAATAGTGATTAAGAATGACAGATTTGATCAAATGGGGTATTCTGACAAATTGAATACCCCATAGTCTGTGAAATAATTGCCTCAATTAACTACCAATTTTCAGTCATTTCCTTTATAGCAAGGTCAATTTTTTGTAAACATCTTGAGATCCTGTGATAAGTTTTAAGGAAGGTATTTGATGTGGAATAGATATCGGTATAGATTTCAAAATGAAAAGATATATTCTATGGAAATGATTATCAATGATTAGGAAAATGTCATCAATGGTGAATTGCAGAGCAGCATGATACAAAAACTAAGTGTTTTATGAAGTCACCCCTGCAAAGGTTTTATGTGATACAAGCAAATTTTGCAGGGGTGATGTCATAAAACAACTATTTCTAGTTGATTGCAGGTATCACAGACGTTTAATTGAAAAATTGGAATGGTGCAAATTCAGTGTTCCCAATAAGCATACAAAAATCAGAAATTCAGTTTACAATCCCTTTAATTTACTTCAAAAATCTCACCAATATTAAAGATAGAACCATTCTGATAGAAATACAGATGTTTTGTTATAAGTTTTTTCTGCAGATGAATCCACTTGTCATCCATGATCTGAAGACTTTGTTATGCAACACATTTCTAGGTCCATGAAATTGTAACAAATCAAGTGCTCAGTTTGATTAACAGATTGTATTTTGGATTTATTTGCATATTAACAATTTCTATGCTATCTTGTCAACAATCTACATGGTTTTAAGAAGATTATTGGTATATCATGGATGGCAAGTCTGTCAAATCAGCAAAAAAAAAATAAATTGATCTGGTTTGAAAGGATTGTATGTTTGTATGTGCACCAAGATCAGATCTGTAGCATCACATCAAACCAAGTACAACCCATAGGAACTTGTCCTCTCCTGATTGCTACTCATTGCTCTTTACACGTCACTTGTCTTCTGTCCTTCATTGTAGCTGGCTGGTCATCATCTCTCTCTCTCTGTATTCATGTATTTATAATAAAATGTACAGTTGTTAGTGGCCGTATAGATCATAACAAGATTGAACTGGTGTCTCTGTTTTGTACACTCAGAAATATGCTTGCCAAGAGTTAGGTGTGTGTTCTAGATAATCATGGCTAGAAATGAGAAGTGTCAAGTATTACAGATAAAATATTCTTAGAATTCACAGCTGAGCATAATATGATGTATTATTATTATGATAAACAAATGATTTCAAGTTTTATTTCATAAACAATTACTGGTATTTATATGTTTATATTTCTTCATTTTATATTCCCAAATGTTTGTAGCCTGGGGAGTTGCCACTAGTAAGATATTGTTTTAGCATTTAGTGAGCTGTTAACATCCTTCCAGGTTTGCTTCAAACTGTAAAATTTGCTATAGTTGCAGAGTATATCTGACCAATACTGAAACAAATTTTATAGTGTGGGCCTTGAAACAATTTATAATATCTACCAGTATGTTCTATTCAAGCTTAAAATGGAAATGATATTTTGCATGGTTACAATTTGCTTATTTTGTGTTGTTAGGCTATTCCAAACTTAGTTACTTTTACATAGGATTTTGGTCAAAAAACATTTGCTTTTCCTTCATAAAGAATCCAAATTTCAAAATTTTATTTGCAAGAGTTTATGGGTTTTAGAATTTGATACTTTTTCCATGTTAGTCCCTCCGACCTGCATCACTGTCAGGGGGAAACTAGGTAGACAAATCTGAAGGCATATCCTGACCTATACTGGGATTAAAACCTGGACCTTCAGGTTAGCGAGAGATGAGCTGCCACTGTTCCCTGAGATGAATTGAAGCCTTTGGTCCTATCATGCAGAACTTCAAACTATATCTTTTTTTTTAATAGACACCTGTGTGACAGAAAATCTTTAGAAAAAAATACAAATTGTATCTGTTAGGCTTGTCGACAGTTCTGATTTGCATCAAGTAGTCAAATGTTAGTCAAATATTTGGCTTGGCGGTTCTAAGATTGGAGATACCCCATCAAAACATATAACATTTGTTCGAAGGAGATAAGAGGCACATTCTTACAGCCTGTAGACACAGATTATAGTAAACAAATTACAATCTGACATCATTATTTACAAATGGTTGAAGCAGGATCTCTGTTTCAAATACCTTTCTTACTAACTACTGTAAGGCAACTGTAGAAAAAACATATCATCTATCATAGTGTAATACCATAGTTCATCCATTCTAGTAGAATAGTTCATCCATTCTGGTAGAGTACTTCATTCATTCTAGTAGAATAGTTCAGTTACTGTAGTAGAATAGTTCATCCATTCATTCTAGTAGTAGTCATCCATTTTAGAAGATTTCATTTAGGTCTTTGTATGCCTCTAAAGTCACATGGTTTGGGCTTTTGGTTTGAACTATACTTTGAAAATACCACACAGAGAAAAATGAAAGGATCCTTATAGAAAGTATTCTTTTTGAAATTGATAATTCTAAAGTTTATTTATGCAATTCTGCCAGTGTATATCTGTTTATATTAACAATCTTGACAATTTATATATTACAGACAATTACCTTCACTAACTGATGAAGACCATGAAGTGATATTTAAAGATGTTGAACAGTTATTAAAAGCAACCTTAGATCTAGTACAAAAGGTATTGTATTTGGAATATATTGTGTTAGATGGAAATATGGTAGTGACTATTATTTCTATTGAATAGTTGCTGATTCATTAGTTGTATACTGCAGTCAAATATCAGAACAACACCAGAAATCTCAGAAAGTGACAAATCACAAGGAAAAAATGGACATCGGAAGTGCAATGCATAAGTCAAAGACCTACAAGAGACAAAATCAAATGAAATAAGATGACTGGAGTTTGAGTTCTTATTTTTCTGCATCTAATTTTCATCTAGATTTGAATTTAAGCTAGACATGATCATGCATTCACTATGTCAACATCAGTTGCCTCCCATGTAGCAGAGAATTACCAGTAGCTTAACAAGTCTCCACCGTTATCAATTGCCTGAATAAGATATACTATTTGTCTAAGGTTCTGGGACATAAATAAAGCTTATTGGGTGTCACTTACATTGTAATAGAGATTTAAGCTTGATCTTCAAAGGCTAGATGGAGAGTTTATCTACATAAATACTGAACTTGAATACTAAATCTTCATCCCAAATTAACATCTTCTCTCAAAGTTATCATTCCATTAAAAGGCCCAGCGACCTCACTTCTGACAATTTTGAGGTTTTTGATTTTGTACAAAGACACTGTAAATGAATCAATTTCTGCAGAACCGAAGAAGGTTTAGCTGGGGCTTAATTCTCACTTGCTGGGGCCCAGCCCCCACAGACCCCACCCTAACAACGGGCTGCATTCAAATCTGTCTGATGGTCTTGCTGGAAATCTATTAATTGAATTATTGAAATTTCTAGGAGGAAAATGTGTTTCTTTAATAATGCATAGTCTATTAAATATATATTGAGGCTGCTATTCCAATTCTCATTAAAAAATGATGGATAAAAGTCAAAAAACTTTTTTACTTTGCTCAGACAGATGAGCAAACATTTACTTCGGATATTAATCAAAAAAAAAGATTAGTTCACTTTATGTTGAGGTGAAATAAATAGTAATTAAATCTATACCAGCCTGACTCACAAAGTATCCATTGCTACTTTAACTACCTAAAAAATAAAATGGACTAAGTATGTGACCAAATCTTTGCCTGATTATAGTTCAACAAACATTGTTTTAATTTAGAGAGAGATATTCATTTAGAATCATTTTTGAAAATGAAAAATTGACCCATCCGAACGACTAGACGCTTTTTCCATGTCAGCCCCTCTTACCTGCATCACTGACAGGGGGAAACCGGGCTGAAAAATCCGAAGGTATTATCTCGACCTATGCCGGGATTGAACCCTGGATCTTCAGTTTAGCGAGCAAGCCTCTAACTCACTGAGCCACCGCGGCTCCCCAGAATGATTTTTGAGAGCTCTTACATTCATAATGGATCTGAGGACACTGTCAACCAATTAATACTCTGTTTATTAACATAAATAAGCACAATTTATGAGGATTTATCAGACATTCATTGTTAAAAATTGACTTGTATTTAAGGCTGTTAAGTGGACCTGTTAGATATGCATTAACCATAATAGGCTTAATTTTTCTCTATGTATCATTGTATCTTTGTTGATAAATAATGTTTATACTGATGGTCTTTAAGTCAAAGAGGGATGTTATTATGTATTGAATATAGGAGGTAACCCAGTGTCTTTGCACATTTGGTGGTAAATTGAATTAAACTAATAAATTAGTATTGGAACAACTTAGTGTTGATAAGAAATTTTTAGTCCAAATTTGCGACATTTCTAGTTAAAATTTTGGACATTTTCTAGGATATTTTTAGTCAAAATTTGGGACATTTCTAATTCAAATTTCGATGTCAATTTTGTAGACTTTATACTCCATCTAAGAAAATCTGTACTATTTTAAAGCTGATATTCGAATTGCCATGAACAAAATATGGCATGATTGTGTTTAGAATATGAATGAAATATCAAGAATTGATAATTTCACTATTTCTGTTATAGATGCAATGTTTATGTAGTAATTGGAATGATTCAGATAATAGTGTTGGTAGGTAAACATTGTTATATACTTTTTTTTTTATCTATGTGACTGTAAATTGTTGATACCAACTTCCATCTTTCCAACCATCTGTTTCCAAAATTTCTTAAAACTGTAAATGAATGCAGATTATCTTAATTTTTTCTGAAAATTTAAATATTGTAGCTACTTTAAGATTGTAAAGAGGTTTTTTAAGCTTTTTATGTGTATCAGGGACACTGATAGCATCAATTTGCTCCATTCCAATTATGCTTTATATTTATATTTTGTAGGTTGTTTATTTTCTGAAGTTATAGATAGTTATAATACTTATGTTACCAATTATCCTAAATATATTAGGTAAAATATAAATTTTGAACATCATGGGCCTTATTCTGAAAAACACTAAAATCATTTTAGTATTTCTGTCTTCTGATTGGTCAATCAGCTAAATCAATTTCAAATTTAGTTTTATTATCCAATCGGATTTCTGTATTTCCTTTTAAAAATCTTCTAAAATTACCATAAACATACTACGGATTATAAGGACAAAGTTTCCCTTTCTCCTTCTTGAGACTGATTTAAACCCAGGACACCTTCTCATCTTGCAGACGTCAATCCAATAGGCTACTGACTCGAGTTATTCCACTGTCATCATAATTCACTGTAAAGAAGATTTCTTGCACAGAACAATATTTATAGCAAGCAATCTTGTGGTATAATGACTTATTGCTCAGTATCACCTGATTTTTTTAGATCTTTCAAACATGTATATATTGTTTTAGGAGATTGGAGGCAAAGATGAAGTTTGATCAATCTTTTAGTCAATTTTGTCAAGGACAAGAATCTCGAGGAAAATTACCTTTAGAGACTTTATTATATTTACCGGTAAGTTTTATATACTTAATTCAACATATCATCTATGGAACTTAAATCCACTTAAATACACCAAACACATAACAATCATCTTGATTTAGCCTAAAAACATCAAACACATAACAATCATCTTGATTTAGCCTAAATACAACAAACACATTACAATCATCTTGATTTAGCAGAAATACATCAAACACATAACAATCATCTTGATTTAGCCTAAATACAACAAACACATAACAATCATCTTGATTTAGCCTAAATACACCAATCACATAACAATCATCTTGATTTAGCAGAAATACATCAAACACATAACAGTCATCTTGATTTAGCCTAAATACAACAAACACATAACAATCATCTTGATTTAGCCTAAATACACCAAAAGCATAACAATCATCTTGATTTAGCCTAAATACACCAAACACATAACAATCATCTTGATTTAGCCTAAATGCACCAAACACATAATCATCTTGAATTAGCCTAAATACAACAAACACATAATTATCTTGATTTAGCCTAAATACACTAAAAACATAATCATCTTGATTTAGCCTAACTACACCAAAAACATAAAAGGACAGAAACAAAGATGAGTTATCTCCCATGAGTCTGCTTTTCAGAACTTTTCAAGTTCATTCTCATAATAACTTGAATAGCAAATTTTACTAACTGAACAAACAATACTTGAGGTTATGTCTATGCCTGTGCTCTCGTAAAAATTTTACACCCTAGATAAAATACCTATGTTCTATGTCATGTTCATCACCTGCTTTTGCCTAATTTGATGCTCATGAAAGTTACTGCTTTTTGTTTTTTACTTGATCACTCAAAAGGAACATTAAATTGATCAGCAACTTGACAAAGTTATCAAGAAAATATCAACACATAAATCAAAATGTCAAATTTTTTAGACCCTTAACATAATGTATGCATGATATTCTGAAACATATTCATAGTATGAGGTTCTGATTTGTAGCCTGTGGCTGACATGTACTTAAAGTCGTCTGCATAAAACCTTGACCACTTTGATGGCTAGTTTTATCTTCATAAAACAACTTCACAACAAGTGATTACAAACTCATAAACAACAAAAACAATCCCCAACAATAAATGCATAAAACAATATTTCATTTTTTCCACTTCTGCCTCTCCATCAATTTGTCGTCTGCTTTGTTTTGTGTTTAACCAATCAGACCTTGAACTATTATTAACCTCTAACACAGGAGATTGTGTCAACAGATGAAACCAAAGTCAGAATCTTATCACCAATTTGCCATCAATTTTAAAGCGTTTGCTTGCAGGAAGTAACTTTGTTAGCTATATTGAAAGTAAAAACATGAATAGCAATTAGACGGAAATAATTTTTTTGAAGCAATATTTGATGGCTTTATGAATTTTTAGGATATAAATTTCTTTTTGAAAATGCTCATGATCAATTTGGCAGAGCAATAAAGTCATTTGTGTATGTATGTATGAAATCTTTTTGGTGTTTTCTTGTTTGCTTACTTATCACTTGAGAAATATTGTATAGCTCAATGGTGTTTGCACCATTGATATTTTTTATGATGTCGACACTCTTTTGAAAATTGCAAAATTTGGGGGGTCATTTAAGGTCACTTATATTTGCACTGGTTTGATACAAACACCACTTTTGATTTGTATTATCAATTAATGGATTTCCAGTATAAAAAATGACCAATTTCACCTTGGATTTAAGGTCATGGTGCATTGTTTGATGGATGATGTCCCTACTTGACCACTTAGGGAACTTACATATAAAACCCATCGAAACAAGTTCATTCTAAGGACATCGTAAGGACCCTTAGAAATCAACAAGCGTGAAGTCTACACAAAGATAATTACTTAATTAAAATTCAGAAACAACCTTTCCAACAGGGCGGTATCTTCTTGTTATAAGTTTCTAGTTTAGTCATCTTTGAAGTCGTCATTTATTGACAGTTAAAATACACACCTTACTAGTTCAGGTTTTAGAAAAATCTCTTGGTTTTGATTAGGCAAGATATGGGCCAAGAGCATTCTTGGTTCTGGTCACTGTTAGAGAAACATGGTGGAAATCTGGCCTTGGTCAAGAAAATACCTTCAGATTTTGTAAACCAGTGTTCCACTGTCTGTCAGTGATGCAGGATGGAGGGGCTGACATGGAAAAAACATCTGGTTGTTTAGTTTGGACAATAAAACCTAGGCCCAGTGTGCTACAGACTGTGCAACATTTGGAAATCGAAAAGTTGGCTAATGCTGCTATCCTGGCAAAATTTCATTTCATTTCTGTCCGACCCAAACAGGTGCAGATGTTAAACATTTCTATTCAATGGTTACTGTTCATTGAAGTAGATGATAGAATCAATTGACAATTCAGGCTATATTTTTTTAGTTGTTCCCATAGTGATGCCTTAATCCTGGGGCATGCAAATCTTCCCATTTTTATTTCTGAAATTTGAATTTTAGTACGAAATTTTCTGGTTAGAAATTATTGCTGCAGGGCGCACTTGAATGACTGACCTTTATCACTTCTGTTGATAGCAATCACCACTTATGTTTGGGACAGGAAAAAAATCCTTGAAACTAGCCAAAATACCCTACTGCTTGATTTCATCTTTGCTTATCTAAGATATTTGAGAAATTTGATCAGCAAGTCAAGTAGACTTAAAGCTTAATCTCTACTCTCAAGTCATGTGTATTCATCTAAAACAGGTAGATTATGTTACCTTGAAATTACGCCACTTGCACAAAAAAGAAAAGATTACAGTGGAAGGCCCTCGGTTTTTATTATTGATTGTTTACATAAGTAAAATAACTTGTTAAGTGATACATATGAAATTGTGTTTGGATAGTAAATTCTTTTGGTTTTTTTTTTCTTACATTTTTATCAGCCAAGATAAAGGAACTGCTCTTAGTAACTGTTAATTGATTATGTATTTTCTAAGCAACACCTGGGCTTATCAGGGTTCAATTTGTGATAACAAAATTGCACAGGGACATAGGTCGAAGAGTTCACCAGAAGGTTTGTTTCAGCTCACCTTTTTGTAACACTGTATTTGATTGTGTTTCTGCAAATTTGGAAATCATTCTTCCTTCATAGAATACAGATTGCTTTTCCCTTTCTTTCGGAAGATTATGGTGCTTTGGGATCAAACTTTTCCAGTTCACAATCAGACTTTGGCCATGTTGACAAAAGTTTTGTCATAGCAGTGATTTTTTGTGTGTCTTATCACACCTACAAATGATCTTGAAAAACAAATGAAAAAAAAAAGATGTTTGCCTGGCTTTTAAAGATTTTCTTTTGAATATCTGTTGACAACATCTGTGGAACAAACTATGTCTTGTTTGGCAAAGATAAAAGCTAATGCCCAATTCTTTGGGATTGTTCTTCCTGCTTGACCACTTTTAAGTACCTGTGGAAGATTTCACAAGAAGAGGCCATGCTGACCCCTTGTGGAATTCCTGATGCCAATCTACATACAGGGTTTATCAACAAGACTTTTAACCAGGCTCTTATATTGTTGAGGGCAAAATAGTAGCTTTTTACTAATGACTGGTTATTTCCATTCTGGTCTACATACACTGAAGTTTATTGTTGTTTAAAACCCAGGTAATCCTATGACCTCAAAATTACCATGAAATAAAATAAAACCTCTCTGGTGAGGCTATAACTCTATCAAATTGATCAGATAATGGATTTCTTATTAGAAAAAGATATCTTTACACATGAATGGGTTTAGATGAGTTTAATTGAGGAAATTAGAAAGTTTGATTTATTTTCTCCTTCTATTTCGTCTATCAAATTTGACCTGAAAATACCTGATTTTGTCATTTTTATTATTATTGCGAAATATGTTATTTTTTTTTTATCACATAGTTCATTATGAAATACACTTCTTCTATGAAATAGAAAATGAAAAAAATTAATGAACTTTTGCAATTTTTTTTTAAAAGATACAGTGTGATTTCTTATGAACTGAGGAAAGCTTAGAAAGAAATAAACCACCTTTTTTACAAAGATAATAACTTAGGTTCAGAAGAATTCTTATACCAACTGGTCCTTTGCTAAACCTTTTGACCAGCTGGTCCTTATCCAAACCTCTTGGCCCAATTTCAGTTGCCCACATGGTGCAGAAAAGTAGGATGTAAAACTCCATTCATTTCATTTCCAAACCTCTTGGCACTTATCTTTTCCAAGTTATAAGCTAGGTTGACCTATGGTATAGCAAAGCTGTTTATGAAATATTTCAAAATTTTCATTAAATACAGCAAAATTTGTTCCTTTGCAGATGTTAGGTTCAATGACATGCAAAAATTGAACACTTCCTCATGAATGATGGCCAATACAGCTGAGTTGAAATCTTGTTGGAAACTTAGTACAAATAAAGGAAAGTATCAAAATTTGTCTCTCACTACCATAAGCCATAAAAGATGTGTTATATATACTTTTTTTTGTCACAAAAGACTAGTTATTTGCCACCAACAAATTCAAACAGTGGTCCATAATATTTGTTTGACAAAGTAGTTTAATCTTTATTAATAGGAAGAGATATTCAGAAATTCATAGGGGGTGATGTATTTCGTCATGGTTTTTCACCAATTTATACGATTTTAACACATGTGAAGTATTCCTTCTATTTTATCACTCTTTTTTAAATTTCCATATCTTATTTTGGACCCTACTTACAGCAGACGTCATAATATTCCAGTTAACAATCCATATTATTATATCAATCCATTATAATCAGGATGAAATTACAAAGAACTTTTGTTTGAGGATAAGTGTCCTTAAAATGATAGCCTCAAATCTGATAGCAAAAATAGTGTTTACCTGAGAAAAGGTTCTACATCAGTAGCTTGGACCATAATCAGTCAAACCCCCAAAATATTATGTGTTTTGAGCAAAACTCATTTATTAGAAAAACTATATGATGTATTTTTGACTTCCAAACCCATTTATTATGGATGTCACTGACTTTGTTAATCTTGGTTGATTCTGTCACAAAAAAACCCAAAACCACCATACTTTTTACTTCAGGTCATGTCAGTGATGTTCTGGTGATTTTTTTCTGATATTAGAGCAGCAATAGGTCATTTTCTCACAGACTTCTGTCTATATATATCATTTACTTTTTATATTTCTAGTTAAATTGTCTGTTGACAAATTTTTTGATTTGGTTTTAAGTAGGCTTAAATACATTGGTTTTTGAATTGACTTTTAGGACTACATAAAGATTTTGACAGTAGACGTAACTGTAACATTTGGCCATCAGGGCTCTTTATTAGCCAATTTGATATTTTTAAATATTTGAACCTGTTGATTCAGACCACAAAATTAAAAATAAGAGTATTTTATTTGATAATAATTGTCAGATAACTTTGTTTTCAGTACCTGAATAAATTCTCCTATGTGTCTTGGAGTAGCCTAAATGTCAATCTGACCATCACCAGGAAGATGCCATCAAGGATGTAGCTGTGTCAAAATGGACACAGACAGGACTAAATATATATAAGAATGTCTCTAAAATATCGGTGAAGGTTAAGACAGTATATAATGGAATGTAAACGATATCTGAATGAAGGAACTGTGTTTTTAATTGATTCAACCAGGCATGAAATGAACCTTTTTATCATGATAATAAAAATATATTTAATCCTAACATGTTGTGACTCAAAACTGATTTTGAATCAGGATGTTTATGAAACACAATTGAGCTATGAACTTTTTATAATATATTTTGTTAAATGAAAATATTTTAATAATAAAAAAATTAAATTTGGATGAATTTAAACTACTTAAGTACACTTTTAATGGATTGTTAATGGATTGTTGCACCCACAGGTAGCTACCTGTAGTACTTTGCCAATTTTCACTATTTTGAAAATCCAAACTTTGCAGCTTCACCAGGCTCAAACCATTTGAGATAGGATGATGAAATTTACACACACACTAGATTGACATGTTAGCTTTGCAATGCCACAAACTGCGATTCCATATCTCCTTTACTTCAGAAGCGCTGAGCGTTATAGTTTTATCCATGAAAAACAGGATTTTTTGGCACTTTTCCGGAATTGACTTCTATGCAGGGAACTAGGGAGCTAAAAACCAGTTACATCGATTTTCAAGACCATAAAATTTTGACCCAAAAGTGGATTTTGCACCCACAGGTAACTTAAATTTCGATGGTGAGCTGTGAACACTATGACTGATTGACTTGACTAAAAAATTGCTGTTTCTGAGACTAACGTATGATTGGTAAAAAAAAATGTCCCTTTAATTGCTGTCATGGGTGTATGTTGCAGTGCCTGGCAAGCTTTATTAAATTGTGTACGTTATGGTAAATATACATACCATAAATCTTTAAACCAAGTAGCCTTACACAATCAGAACAGCTGTACCTTCAGCTAAGTTAGTCTTTCCTGCACAAGACCTAAATGCATTCACAAAAATAAAATTTAGACTTAGTGAGTGAATGAAAAGAAGTTCACTCATACCAAAAGGAATTGATAGATGAGCAGAAGATCAGATTATGTAAAACCTGTGTGATCAAAACTTAACTATAAATTTCAAATATTAACCCTTTGTTTACATCTACACCAACTCCAAGGATTAAAAGCTGACTAAGTCATTCAGTGTAGACTGACTTGCGTATGAAGGTCTTTGTATAAATTGTTTCTTTAAGTTAATGTTACGTCAAACATTCGCATGTCAGGCAGTGTGTAGTACATAGGTTATTTATTGACGCATAATGGGTTTTACACCTTTCAGGCATTATAATATATTCTTATCAACTTTTCTTTGTGTTCAATATAGGTGTAAAAATTCTATTAAAATACAGAATAGCATTTCTTTATCTTTAACCAGTGGAGTTGTATATTGCAATAAAAAAAACTTTTTTATGACAGTGCATTTTTTATTGTTGTCAATGTATGTGTTATGGTGGCATTTGCATACTTACTGAAGTACTAGGGTTCAATAGCACATTTTTGAACAGAATTTTTGGAATTATTCTCCATTATTTATCTCTTAGATTACAGGATATAAAAGATTAATTTCAAAATAAAAACAAGTTAAAATGGCTGTAAAATGACTAAAATTTTAATTTCATGAATCAGAGAAACTTTTCAATATATGTGTTTTAAGTTCAATTTTGAATTATGCAAAATGTGTCATAATAAAGAAGATATTGTAAGAAATGTTCACAGATGGTTAAATTTGACAACATTCTTTGATATAAAAAAATACAGAAGGTGTCAGTTGACAAGTTATTTGATTGCTATAAAAGCTTTTTTTTTTTTATAGTAGAGGCACATTGTTGAAAACTGACATTTTTCAACAAAAAATTCACAGTATATAGTTAAAATATTGAATGGTTTTTTTGAGGAAATTTTTTGTTCACATACAAGAATTTAGTCTTTTATTCTGTGATGAATTGAAATGAATGGAGTTTTACATCCAACTCTTCTGCACCTAATTGGGCTTATAATCATTGTGTACTATAAGAGAAAGTTTCCAGGATTGCAGCATTAACTTACTCTATTTCAATTTCCAGTTGCAGACATTAATGCGCACAGTTAGAAGCACACATGGCCTTGGTTTATTGTCCCATCCAAACGACTAGACATCCTGCATCACCAACAGGAGGATGCTTAGACCTTCAGGTTAGCGAGCAAGTGTCTAACTCACTGATCTACTGCGGCATCCTTCATTTCAGTTTTGAAAAGCCATGTTATGGTGTTTTGAAAAAAAAAAAAAAGAAAATCACTCATAACTAGTTTGCAAGTCCTTACTGTGATAAAAATTCACTATAGTGGCAATTGAAAAGATGTGAAATGTAGTTTACAAAATGCATGAAAAAGAATCCAGTTAAAGTTTCCATTTGTTGCTCATCTGGGCAACATGATTGCCACTATCTATTGCAATTATGATAGAAAAATTTGACATTTTGATAAGCCATCTGCCTGTAGTCATCATACGGAATTGTTAGGCACAAATTTACTCCTTGGTTCAAGAGATATGTGTGTCCAAGTTTAAGGATATTAAAGATCGTGAAAAGTCATTGAATTTTATAGTCTTCAGTTTAAGACCCTGTTGATAAAGCTGAAAGATTTTGAAAACTGACTTTCTATGCAAAATAATCTTGATTGTGTAAGCTTCCTTGTTTTCAATGTACATTTCTGTTTGAACCATCTGCCCATAATGTTTTGATCAGAAACTATTGTCAGATAATAAAATGACACTGTATCTTAGTAGTGAGTCTGATAAAAGTAAAATGTTACTCATCAACAGGTTTCTATAACAGGATCACTTGTCATCAATTGAATTATTACTTAAAGGATGGGTACAGAATTTGAAACCCTTTGAGTGTCTATTTCGCTCTATTCTGTCGTGATATAGTCTCATTTATAACCAAATGAAATATAGGCCAATATTATTTGAACTTATTATTTGGAGTTGTTATCTTGTTATATACAAAAACCATGTTTATATTGTATATCCATTGTCGATCCGTAGAAAACAATCCCATATTTGTGTTGGTATTTTGATATGTTGACGTGAGCTTCATTCATGATCATAAACCATTTCATTATCTTTCTTGAACCTACTGATCAGTTATTTTTCATTCATAAAATATTTTTGTACCAGGATATTGATTAAGAGAATTCACAAGCAAAAATCTATTTAGATGAACTTAACATGGGGATAAATCTGAACAGATAAAATTCCATCTTGTTAAAACTGACTTGGAGGTAAATCATAATCAGCAAAAATTACATCCAGAGAGAACTGGTTTCCAGTTAAATCTGCCCAAATAAATGTTTGATTGAGAAGAACTTTGTGGACAGAGCTCTCGAAGGTAGTTAAGATAGGGTGATGAGATTCTGTTATGGTAATAATCATTTATAACAATATGGACCCTTTTTCAAATACTGTCAAGTCTCAAACTGACTAAAAGAGAATTC